GACTCAGCTTGCTCTGCAATTCTGTCATTAATATTTCATTTCTTTAGCAAAGGCTTTTTGTCCCTGGGACACTGCTATTCACCCTGGGAAAAGAAACCTCTCCACGTTCCTTTGTGCAGGACGGTTCCTTAGCTCCTATTCTGACAGCAGAGCCTTAGAACTCAAAAGAGAATAAAGTCCAGCCGTCAAACGGACTTGGATTCAAATTCTGCTTCTGCTCCATTTTCCCTGTGTGATCTGGGAGCCCCACTCCCCCAGCTGGAAACGATGAAAGATGAAACCTACAGTAATTAATCAGTCCCTGCAAGGATTAAGTATCTGGGAGGCGCTGGCTCCTAGCAGGTGCCTCCATACAGTTTTCCCCGGGCCATGGCTGTGGGGTCTGTGGTTGGCCATACCTCCACTTGTCATGTGTGTGGCTGGTTCTGGACGCACATACACACACACACACATGCACACGCACACACACACAGACCCGCATGCGCGCGCGCACACGCACACCCCTTCTCTCAGTGCTGGACCAGCAGTATCCCTGCAGGGAGCCACAGCTCTCTTCCCTCCTCCCTGCCCTGCTCCTGGTGGCTGCAGCTTCGCTGTGTTCTGCAGTGTTGGAAAAGGAAATTACAGAACAGATTGCAATTAAGGGGGATGAGGGGGGAGAGGGAGACAGAAGCCCTAAAATGCAGCTTGACTGAGCGCTAAACTGTGTTTTTGCCCGGAGCCAATCAGGGGCCTCTGACAAGAGCCTGTTCCCACTTACAAATCTAATTGCGGGAGGTGTGGCTGGGGTGGCCCTGGGAGCCCTGCAGAGGAGGGGCTGCCAGCCCCTCGGGGAAGGCTGCTGGCCGCTTGTTTGTTGCCTGGGAAGTCACAGGGCCCGAGGCAGGGGAGCTGGGAAGGCCTGGCAGTGGCACTCACAGCTAGGGACCTGCACTATATACTGCTCACACAAGGCCCTAGACGGCCCGCCTGACAACGCCATATGACGACAGCCTCATTTTACAGGTAAGAAACTGAGGCCAACGATGTTCCTATTTTTCTTTTCTTTTTGCCATAGGGCACGTGCACTGTAAGGAGAGAGACAGAGTGGCAGAGTGAGCGGGAAAGTGAGAAATCACACCCGTGGGGTATGGCCATACTGAAATCTCTTCTCCTCCATGTTCCTCTCAGGATTTGGGGCATATGTGCACGTGTGCCTGGTGTGATTTTCTTTCTTTCTTTCTTTTTTTTTTTTTTTGAGAGGTTTTGCTATAGGGCACTTGCCAGAAAGACAGAGAGACAGAAAGCCTGGTGTGATTGTCAAACTGCTGGGTCCAGGACTCAAACTGCAGAGTCATGTGGGATCTAGTCTCCTAATCTCTATGCCACTGGCTGGCCCACAGTTTTTAATTGTACTGCAGTGTCCTTTTATTGAGCAGAGTGTTTGGGGTAGGGTCACCAGATTTATTGAAACAAAAACAAAAAATCAAGATGGCCAGCCAAATTTAACTTTGGGTACACAGTGAATTTTCTTTTTTTCCTTTTTTTTTTTTTTTTTTTTTTTTGTGGGTCAATTGTGCTGACTTGTGCGATGGCCAAGAGACAGAGAGACAGAAAGCGAAAACCCCCCCCCCAGGGGATGGCCACACTGCAGTCCCTTCTCCTCCATTCTCCTCTTGGGATCTTGGGCACACACCAGCATTGAGTTTTAGCCACCGGGTCCAGGACTTGAACTACATTTGACTACATGGGAGTTCAGTGACATAGCCATTACACCCTCTGCTGGTCCCAACACAGTGAATTTTCTTTTTTAGTATTATAAGGATGTCCCAGATACAGTATGGACTATCCTTGAATTAAAAAGTATTCAATGGGCTGATCCTGTAGCTCAGCACTTAAAGGAACCGGATCCCACATGGCTGATCATGGTTTGAATCTTGGCTCTGGTGGCTTGAAAAACATGTCGGGGGAACCAGCAGTTGGCATAATGGCTATGTCGCCGGACTCCCATGTAGTCAACCATGGTTCGAGTCCCGGACCTGGTGGCTTGAAACTCACTCTGGGTGCGTGTGCGTGCGTGCCCATGATCCCGA